CCCCCCCATTTTGGCGCACCCCTCACGCAGATCCTTGGCCTCGGAGCGCCAGGAATGGCGTTCTGGGAGGATCTGCAAATCCCAGGGTGCGCCCCTCACGCAGATCCTTGCCCTCGGAGCGCCAGGAATGGCGTTCTGGGAGGATCTGCAAACTCCCGGAGTACCGGGAGTGGCGTTCTGGGAGAGCTTGCGAAAGTGCAGGGCACTCCCTTCGCCCAGACTCGTGGCAGACGTTCATGGCCTCGGCATGCCAGGCATGGCGTCAGTACTGTCCTTCGCGAAAGGCACGGGCGCGACCTCGACCCTTTCGGGTTGAGAGCCGCCCCCGTGCCCTTCCCCAGGGGCCGCCCCGTGGAGGCTGGACATGGCCCCCTGGGTTTCCGAGCGGATATGGCCGCCCCGTCGCGCGGTCACTCCGCGGCGCGCTCAAGCGCCACGGAGCCAGCGCGGCGGGGCGACCGCGGCCGCTCCGCCGCTGGGCGGCGCCCCTGCATCGCACAGGGACTCGCGTCAAAAAACGTGGTTCTTCAAATCGCGTCGTCACGCGCGCGGGCCGCATCGCCGTTGCAGCCGCGTCCCAGGTGTCTTTGCGCGGCCGCGTCGTCGTCGTTTTGAAAACAATATCAACGTCGTTGTCATCGGTGTCGTCCTCGTCGTCGTTTTGCGAGTCGCGTGTTGATACCGCATCGAGATCAATATGTCTTGGGTCATGGGTGGGTGGGACACGGTCAAGTGGGCTGCAAGTTTGGGCTGGTGGACCCTAAACCCTTAACCTTTAACCCTAAACCCTATACTGAAGCGCGACCCCGTTGGGTCGCGCTCTCGACCTCGAATGCTATCGGTGGCGAGGAACGAGCGACAGTCGAGCTCCCAGAACGTTCTCAGGCCGACGCCAGTGCTGCGCTCCGCCAAACAGAAGAACCCTTAACCTGAGCGGCATTTGCTCTGGCGGCTCCCTCTTGGCCCCTGGGAGGATAAACTTCACTAGAAGCGCCTTGGAGCGCCTGGGATCGCCTGGGAGCGCTTGGGAGCGCCTGCAAGCGCTTGGGAGGCGCCTGGGAGCTCCTGGGAGCGCCTGGGGGCGCCTGGGAACGCCTGGGAGCGCTTGGGAGCGCCCGGGAGCGCGCGGCCAGGCCAGGCCCGCTCGTGACACCCCTACCCGCTCAGCCCGGCCAAACAAGCATGGGAGCGCCGGGGAGCGCTGGGCAGCGCTTGGAAGCGCCTGGGAGCGCTTGGGAGCGCTTGGGAGCGCTTGGGAGCGCTTGGAAGCGCATGGGAGCGCTTGGCAGCGCCTGGGAGGGCGTGGGAGCGCCTGGGAGCGCCTGGGAGCTCCTGGGAGCGCCTCGGAGCGCTTGGGAGCGCTTGGGAAGTTTGGGAGCGCTTGGGAGCTCCTCAGGGCGCCTGGGAGCGCTTGGGAACGCATGGGAGCGCCTGGGAGCGCTTGGGAGCGCCTGGGAGCGCTTGGGACGTTTGGGAGCGCTTGGGAGCGCCTGGGAGCGCTTGGGAGCGCTTGGGAAGCCCATGGGGTAGCTCCTGACGGCTCCTGGGGAGCTTCTGGGAGCGCCTCGGGGCGCCGGGGCGCATTGATATGCGAGGGCCCAAGCGTTCCCAGGCGCCCCCAAGCGCTCCCAAGCGCTCCTAGGCGCTGCCAGGCGCTGCCAGGCGCTCCCAAGCGCAGGCGCTTACAAGCGTTCCTAGGCGCTCCTGGGCGCTTCCCAGGCGCTGCCAGGCGCTCCCAGGCGCACCCAGGCACTGCCAAGCGCCCCCAGGCGGTCCCAGGCAATCCCAGGCGCTCCCCGGCGCTCGCTAGCGCTCCCAGGTGCTCGTAGGCGCTCCCAAGCGTTCCCAGGCGCTGCCAAGCGCTCCGATGCGCTCCCAAGCTTGCGAGCGCTTGGGAGCACCTGGCAGTTGCGAGGGGGCGCCGAACTTCGAAAGCGAAACCTTTAGTGAGTGCAGGTCGGCAACGCGCTGCCTTGCGTGGCGCTTGAGCGTTGCGGAACTCTTGGCCCCCCAGGCGCTCCCAGGCGGTTCAGGCGCTCCCAGGCGGTTCCAGGCGGTTCCAGGCGCTCCGAGGCGCCCCCAGGCGCTCCCAGGCGCTCCCAGGCGCTCCCAGGCGCTCCCAGGCGCTCCCAGGCGCTCCCAGGCGCTCCCAGGCGCTCCCAAGCGCTCCCAGGCACTGCCAAGCGCTCCCAGGCGCCCACAGGCGTCCCAAGCGCTCCCAAGCGCACCCAAGCGCCCCCAAGCGCTCCCAAGCGCTCCCAGCGCTCCAAAGCGTTTTCAAGCGCTCCCAAGCGCTCCCAGGCGCTCCCAAGCGCTCCCAAGCGCGTTTAGGCGCCCCCAGGCGCTCCCAAGCGCTCCCAGGCGCTTCTAAGCGCTTCCAGGCGCTCCCAGGCGCTGCCAGGCGCCCCCAAGCGCTCCCGAGCGCTACCAAGCGCTTTCAAGCGTTCGCAAGCGCTCCCAGGTGCTCCCATCAAGCGCTCCCAGGTGCTCCCAAGCGCTCCCAAGCGGTCTGGTGCGCTCCCAGGCGTTCCCAAGCAAGCGCTCCCAGGCGCTCCCAGGCGCTCCCCAGGCGCCCCCGAGGCGATCCCCAAGTGTCCCAAGCGCTCCCAGGCGCACCCCAAGCGCTCTCCAAGCGCTCCCAAGCGCCCCCAAGCGCTCCGAACTGCTCCCAGGCGCTGCCAGGCGCTCCCAGGCGCTCTCAGGCCTTCCCAGGCGCCCCCAAGTGCCCCCTGGCGCACCCGAGCGCCCCCAAGCGCACCCAGGCGCTCCCAAGCGCCCCCGGGCGCTCCCAAGCGCACCCAAGCGCTCCCAAGCGGTCCCAGGCGGTCCCAAGCGCTCCCAAGCGCTCCCAAGCGCTCCCAGGTGCTCCCAGGCGCTCTAAGGCGCTTCCCAAGCGCTGCCAAGCGCTCCCAGGCGCCCCCAGCTCCAAGCGCTCCCAAGCGCTTCCCGGCGCCCCCTGGCGCTTCCCAGGCGCTGCCCAGCGCTCCGAAGCGCTCCCAAGCGTTTCCAAACGCTCCCAAGCGTTCCATGTGCTCCCAAGAGCTCCCAGGCGCCCCCCAGGCGCTTTAAGGCGCTCCCAGGCGCTCCCAAGGGTTCACAAGCGCTCCCAAGCGCCCCCAGGCGCTCGCAAGCGCTCCCAAGCGCTCCCAGGCGCTCCCAAGCGCTCCCAAGCGCCCCCAGGAGCTTCCCGGCGCACCCAAGCGCTTCCCGGCGCCAGGCGCTGCCAAACGCTTCCAGACGCTCCCAGGCGGGCGCTCCCAGGCGCTCCCAGGCGCTCCCAAGCGCTCCCGAGGGCTCACAAGCGCTCCCAAGCGCCCCCAGGCGCTCCCAAGCGGTCCCAAGCGCTCCCAAGCGCTCCCAGGCGCTCCCAGGCGCTGCTCGGCAATTCGAAATGAAAACCAAGAGATCACCCTGCGAGCGAGATGCGGCTCCGAGGAATAGAAAGTTAGCCCCCCCATGCGAAGGGGGGCGAAGGGGGGCTGATTGACAGATGGATGACGCCCGAAGATGTTCCGCCAGAAAGACCTTCCCCCCATGAGAAAGGGGGAGAGAGGGGGGTAGAAGAACCCTAAACCCTAAATGGGTACTTTTGGGCGGGGGGTGGGAACGGGAACGAATAGCAGCCGACCCCCCCAACCTCTCGAAGGAGGGGGGGTCGAGCTGCTTCCGCCCAGCGAGGCCCTAAACTGCAAGCCACGGGCTGTGCATCGTCAGAAGCCCGCGGCGCCTGGCCGAGCGATCAGCGAGCCCGCCCATGCGCGCACGCCGCACCGACGAAGCGCGTAGCGCTGAGGAGGATGCGCTCCCCCGCGGGGATGCCTTGTGAGTGCTCCGAGAGATGAGTAGAACCCTTAACCCTAGGCCCAGCCGTTGGCTTCGCCACGATTTGTTCCATCCCCTGGGGCTCGAAACCTATGAAAATACAGCATGCGGCGCCCTTTCGGCCGTCCGTGGGGCCGCAAACCATATGAAAATACCATATGCGGCGTCCTTTCGGCTGGCGCACGTCCCAGGCGCCCCCAAGCGCTCCCAGGCGCTCCCGGGCGCTCCCAGGCGCTCCCCAGCGATCCCAGGCGTTCCCAAACGCTCCCAAGCGCTCCCAGGCGCTCCCCAGCGCTCCCAAGCGTTCCCAGGGGCTTCCAGGCGCTCCCAAGCGTTCCCAAGCGCTCCCAAGCGCTCCCCGGCCCTTTCGGCAAGCTCCAAAGCGCCCCCAATGCACCCAGGCGCATGGCGCTCCCAGGCGCTCTCAGGCGCTCCCGGCAAGCTCCCAGGCGCTCCCCGGCGCTCCCTGGCGCTCCCAAGCGCTTCCAGGTCGGTCCCATCCCCTGGGGACTGCCTTACACGTGAAAACACGCCTACGGCGGTCTCGCATTGCTGCGCTGGGGAGCGTAACGCACAGGAAATACGCCCACGGCGGCCCCTTGGGCCTTCTTGGTGTGCCATGCAGAACGTTATGCCTGTAGCGGCTTCTTCGGCTATGCTGTGGTGCCTTGCCGTTGCATCTTGCAGAAAACCGCGACGCGAAACAAAAAAGCGACGCAGATGCGCCGACCGACCTTGCGGACCCAAGCGATTCGCCCAAGACCTCGTAGAGCAAGCCCCGAGGAGTTCCAGGGGCTCGTTTTTCCAGCCCACAGTGCTTCACGGGGGGGAGCGCGAGTGGCACGCGCCCGGCGCCCTCTTGCACTGCGAAGTCCGCCGCGAAGGGCATCGCACGACGCCTTCCGTGGCCATGTGCGAGGGGGCGCCAGACCCGCCCCCTCGCGCTCCCCCTCCCCGCCATTTCGAAACTCCAGGGGTGTCGAGAACGTCAGACAATCTCTAAGTACGCCCTTCCTTCTGTTCTTCCCTTCCCCGACGTGGCACTGACAGATCATTTTCCCAGCAGGAATGCGCACGTTCGTGCCTTTGCACGCGACAGCGGGGCAGGCGCACCGCGCGGGTACTGCGAGAAGCGAGCGGTCGCGCGCCAGCCAACGCGCGGCGCTCCGTCGGCAATCTCAGAACGCGGGTATGAAGTTCTCGCGCTCCACGTAGCCGCCGATCAGGTAGTCGTCCGACGTCGCGACACGGCTTAGCGCTGTATACCCCGCTGCTGGTCGAGGCCATCCGTCCAGGTATATAGTGATGTGGGGGAACTCGTCGCCTTGCACTTTGTCGATGGCGCTGGCGTACCCGAGGCGGATTGGAAAGTAGACCGCGTTGCCCTTCTCGCGATCGGTCCAGCGAGTGATGGCCAGACGATGGCCAGTCTTCGTCATCACGCGCAGCATGTCCTCCTCGGCGCGGTAGTTCTCCACCTCGGAAAGCATGCCGTTGACCTCGTCCGCCTCCTTGTTCTTGTTCTTCGTCGGGTACAACTTCATCCCCTTATGGATCGGCACTTTGCTTGGAACCAGCCTGCGGTCCGTGCGGAGCTTGCCATCCAGGTAGTTCTCGGGGTTGAGTTCCACGTCGCCGTCCAGCGTGGCCAGCGGGGTCTTGCGGCCGCACAGCGCAGCGACTGCAGCCTCGTTCACGGCCGCGGCGCCCCTGCGCGTGCAGGTGGCGATCCGCGTGTCTGGGTGCTTCTCGAAGAGCTTCTTCATTTCGGCGGGCGTGGGATCGCCTCTGCTCTTCCACGCCTTGTGATCGCGCACGATCTTGCGGAACGTCTCCTTCGAAGGCTTGTCTGTCCGAAGCTCGTCCAGGATCTCCTGGAAGCGCTCCTCCTTGCACCGCCAGGTCTCGGTGAGCTTCGCGCGGAAGCAGCGCGGCTGCTTCCATGCGGCACTCTCCCACGGACGTGTCGGCTCGACCCCCGGGAGCTGGCACTGCGTTGCCGTCGAAATGCTTGGTCGTCTGTGAGAGTGAGGCGGGCCGAAATGCCTGCGCCTCGCATGTCTTCTGCGTAGACGTTTCGACGGTCGAAACGTCGAAATGTCTACGGTGTCTTCGAGGCTCGATTCGTTGAAATGTCTACGACAACAAGACTGCCTTTGTCGAAACGTCTGCGGGGCAGGTCCGGCCACCAGGACCCCTTCGTTTCGACATTCCTGTTTTTTTTAATGCCGCAGACATTTCGACATTCTGACCCCGCTACTGTCGTAGACATTTCGACGGGCGGATGCGCTCCCGGTCCTGGCCGGCGATACCAGGCGCTCCAGAGCGCTCCCAGGCCCTCCCAGGCGCTCCCATGCGCTCCCAGGCGCCCCCAGGCGCTCCCAGGCGCCCCCAAGCGCCCCCATGCGCTCCCAGGCGCTCCCAGGCGCCCCCAAGCGCTCCCAGGCGCTCCAGAAGCGCGCCAGGCGCTCCCAGGCGCTCCCAGGCACTCCCAGGCGCTCCCAGGCGCTCCCAGGCGCTCCCAAGCGCTCCCAAGCGTTCCCAGGCGCCCCCAAGAGGCGCCGCGCTGGGCGTGGGCCGCGGCCGCAGCGGGCGCGGGGGCGTGGCCGAAGGCGCCGTCTGTGGCGTCTTTCAACAATAGCTCGGAGATAGCGGGAACCCATGGGATTCTTGCGCCAGCGCCTTCGCAGTGCTGCTTTCCAATGCCGAAGGCAAATGCCGGACCCCTGTGGAACAGCTGCGCCAGCGGCCGCCCACCGGCAAAGCTCCACGCCGAAGGTGCAAACGGCTGCCTCATCGACGAGGCGAGCTGGCGCGCCAGCGCCATGCACCCTGCGCGCGTGCCCGCGCGGGCGCGCATTGCCACGGCCGCGACCGCACGCGCGCTTCCCAGCATTCGCACCCCAGTGTCACAACCCAGTGCCGAAGGCAAAGGCGGCAACGCACGGACATGCTGCGCCAGGGGCAGCCCTGCGCGCGTGCTCACGTGGATGCGCAATGCCACGGCCGCGTCGGCGATCGCCTGCGCGCGCCACTTCGATAGCCCCCCGTGATAGGGGGGTTGGGGGGAGAAACCCTAAACCCTAAAGGGCTTTACTGTGGGTGGTCTGGGGCGGGAGTGCAAGTTCATAGCGCGCGCGGCTTGGGCAGCGATCCCCCCAACAACCTTGATGCGGGGGGGATCGCAGCCAGCGCGCGCACGCGCCCCTGCAGGCCCTAAACCCTAAACCCTCAAGACGAAAAACACCACGTATTGAGCAAGCTCGAATGGTGCCATTGCGAAAGATAGTGAAACGATACCATGCCGAACGATGTAAGCGAGCCCGGCGCAAGCTTGCGCGAGCGCCCGATGGGCGCGCCGAAGCATATCCGACGCTCCGAGCGAGCCGGCGCGAGCGGAAGCGGCTCCGGAACGGCACGACAAGCATTCCGCGCGAGCTGGCACGAGCGGGGGCAGCTCCGGAGCGGCCCGACAAGCATCCCGTGCTACCGGGCGCCTCCGTGCGCTCCCAGGCGCTCCCAGGCGCTTCCAGGCGCTCCCAGGCGCTCCCAGGCGCGGCGCTCCCGGCACGCTCCTGGGGCGCTCCCAGGCGCCGCCGGGCGCTCACAAGCGCTCCCAGCCGCACCCAAGCGCTCCCGGCACGCTCCCAGGCGCTCGCAGGCGCTCCCGGCACGCTCCCAGGCGATCCCAGGCGCTCCCAGGCGCTCCCGGGCGCTCCCCAGCGCTCGCAGGCGCACCCAAGCGCACCCGGCACGCTCCCAGGCGCTCGCAGGCGCTCCCGGCACGCTCCCAGGCGCCCCCAAGCGGTCTCGAAGCTTTCAGGCGCTCCCGGGCGCTCCCAAACGCTTCCGGCACGGTCCCAAGCGTTCCCGAGCGCTCCCGGCACACTCCCGGGCGCTCCCGGCACGCTCCCGGCACGCTCCCGGGCGCTCCCGGCACGCTCCTGGGCGCTCCCAGGCGCTCCCGGCACGCTCCCGGCATGCTCCGAAGCGGTCCGAGGCGCTCCCAAACGCTCCCAGGTGCTCCCAGGCGCTCCCAGGAGCGCGCGCAGCGCGCAACGGGCGCTTCTGGGACGTCTGGGAGACAGCCGCCGCGCGGGAGGGAGCGCGATCTTCGAGCGGGCACGCGCGGAAGCGCTCTCGGCGATAGCGCAGACCAATTGAAACCGCCGCGACACCCGCAGACGCTAATACGTTGTGTAAATCTTAAACCCTAACCCTAAACCCTAACCCTAACCCTGACCTTAACCCTCACCCTCACCCTCACCCTAATTAACCCTAACCCTAACCCTAACCCTAACCCTAAACCCTAAACCCTAAACCCTAACCCTCACCCTCACCCTAACCCTAACCCTAACCCTGACCCTATCCCTAACCCTCACCCTCACCCTAACCGTAATCCTGACCCTAACCCTAACCCTAACCCTAACCCTTAACCCTTAACCCTTAACCCTAACCCTAACCCTAACCCTAACCCTAACCCCAAACCCTAAACCCTAAACCCTAACCCTAACCCTAACCCTAAACCCTAAACCCTAAACCCTCAAGACGAAAAAAAACACCACGTATTGAGCAAGCTCGAATGGTGCCATTGCGAAAAACATTGAAACGATACCATGCCGAACGATGTAAGCGAGCCCGGCGCAAGCTCGCGCGAGCGCCTGATGGGCGCGCCAACCATATCCGACGCTCCGAGCGAGCCGGCGCGAGCGGAAGCGGCTCCGGAACAGCGCGCCGGCACACTCCCAGGCGCTCGCAGGCGCTCCCGGCACGCTCCCAGGCGCTCGCAGGCGCTCCCGGCACGCTCCCAGGCGCCCCGAAGCGTTTCCAGGCAGGGGCCCCCAGGCGCTCCTAAACGCTTCTGGCACGCTCCCAAGCGTTCCCAAGCGCACCCAGGCGCTCCCGGGCGCTCCCGGCACGCTCCCGGGCGCTCCCAGGCGCTCCCGGCACGCTCCCGGCACGCTCCCGGCACGCTCCCAGGCGCGGCGCTCCCAGGCGCTCCCAAGTGCTCCCAGGCGCTCCCGGCACACTCCCAGGCGCCCTGAAGCGTTCCCAGGCAGGGGCTCCCAGGCGCTCCTAAACGCTCCCGGCACGCTCCCAAGCGTTCCCAAGCGCTCCCAGGCGCTCCCGGGCGCTCCCGGCACGCTCCCGGCACGCTCCCAGGCGCTCCCGGCACGCCCCCTAACTCTAACCCTAACCCTAATCCTAACCTTAAACCCTAACCCTAACCCCAAACCTTAAACCCTAAATCCTAACGCTAACCTTAAATATTTAATTTTTATAATTATTAAATCTTAAATCCTTCAAAACCGGTCGCTATGCAAACCGGCCTCCATCGTATGCAAAAAAACACCATTTCCTGATCATGCGCTCTGAAAACTATGTTTTTTACGATGGATCGTGACCTGGTCTATCCGCGGGCCCGGCTGATCCCTTTCAAAAAACACTTTATCCTGATCATGCGCATCGAATTTATTAGAATCCTATGTTTTTTCATACGTTTCGTGCCCAACCCGGGTCGCGGGCGTGGATGCGTACCGGAGTTCTATATTGCAAAAAAATAGTATAACCTTAACATCTTGCTCTTGCAAGATGTGTCCATGCTCATATTCCATTGCAAAAGATACGACAAAGTGCACGCGCGCGCGGCGGCCCCGTATGCGTACCGGGGTTTTATATTGTAGAAAATATTATAAACTGCAGATTCTGCCTTTTGCAAGATGCGTGCATGGTATTATTCCATTGCAAAAAAACTACGACAAAGTGCACAAGCGCGCGGCGGCCGCGAGATCAGGGCCAACTCCTTTGGAAATTTTAATGTTTTTGCAGCACTGGTGCTATGCGACAGCCACGCTAGAGGCTGCGATTATCCAGATGTTGTGGAACTCGCCTTTGTGCTAATCTATGTTATGCTGGCATAGCATACGAGAGGCGTTGCATGGCAAAGCACGTTGAGGCCGGGCGAACCCTAGAGTCCGCCCGACCCGAACCGACCCAACGTTAACTACATTTTATGGAAATGAAAAAATCAATATCTTATATCGCGCGCAACATTTTTTTTTTTTTTGTTTTTATTTGTTTCTTTTTTTTTTTTTTACTTTTCTTCATCTTTTTTTTTTTTTTTTTTTTTTTTTTTTTTCTCAGGGTTTTTTTTTTCATTTTTTTTTTTTTTTTTTTTTGTTTTTTTTTTTTCTTTTTTTTTTTTTTTCTTTTTTTTTTTTTTGTTTTTTTCTTTTTTTTTTTTTTTGTTTTTTTTTTTTTTTCCTTTTTTTTTTTTTTTTTTTTTTTGTTTTCTTTTTAGTTTTTTTTTTTTTTTTTTTTTTTTTTTTTTTTTTTTCTTTTTTTTTTTTTTTTTTTTTTTATTTTTTTTGTTTTTCTGTTGTTTTGTTCTTTTTTTTTTTTGTTTTTTTGTCTTTTTTTTTTTGTTTTTTTTTTTTTTCTTTTTTTTTTTTTTCTTTTTCTTTTTTTTTTTATTTTTTTTTTTCTCAGGGTTACTTTCTTCTGAACAAAAACAATACATTCATTCAACTGCTCACTTCCGTTGTACACTTTCCATTTTCTGTAATTTCGTGCCATCCATGCTATGCGGCGGTCTCTTTTGTTTCACTCGGTTTCTATGTCCAGGAATGTCGTGCTATGTCATGCTTGGAGTTTGTTTCACGCCACGGATTATTCCTTTCAAGGCAACGTTGCGTGCTTTGTTTCGTGGGTTCCCTATGTTGTCTCTGGCCTATTGGGCGTTATGGTTGAGCCTTTGTCGCATGCATCCAGTGTTATCCTGTGGCAGTTCTCATCGCGTGCTTCTCAGGGTTACTTTCTTGTGAACAACAACAATGCATTCATGGAATTACTTCCGTGTACATCTCTATGCCCGGGAATGATGTGCTATGCCATGCTATGCGGCGTTGTCTTGTGTCCCACGAGGCTTCTGCCCAGGAATGTTGTGCTATCATGAGGAATGTTGTGTTAG